TTATTGTCGTAGTTTGTTTATACCGTGTAGTTTGCTATCTTTCGATAGCTGGTGCTTTTAACGTCATCCCAGGACGAGTCAACAGCATATGGCTAATATAGTATATTTGAAAATGTATTTTACTTCTATATGTTAACTGATATAGTTTTGTTAAAAACAATAACCAGGTTTTGTAGTGTAGTTGGTTATCACAGTGGATTCTGATGTTATCATTTGATTTCCACTAACCCCGGTTCGAATCCGGGCAAGACCTCTTTTTTATTTGCTTACTATTTTTTTCACTATTTTAAAATAATCACGTTCTTGATACCATGAACGAATGTTTGAACTCATAACGCGCGCTGACACCGCTACCTTGACAGTCTCATAGAGACAAATGCCTTTGAATTCATATGTCTTCTTTATATGTTATTTTGTTTTATAACTTTGCAAGCTATTTGATGTAAGGATAATAAACTGATTTTCTATCTATTGATACCAAGAAGCTTCTAGATGTTAGACAGACAGAAAATCAGTTTATTGTCCATACATTCTAAATATTAGTTCAACCAACTTTCTTTTTGTTCTATATAGCTGATACCAAGAGGAGTATCGGTGCGATAGTCAAGTTCTTATATACCCTAATTTATGTGCTTTATATTAACTGATTAGAGCAGCTGATTGAAATTTTGCTGTATGTCAGTTTATGGTATATTGAGCTGCAAAAAGTTATCTGTCTCAGACTTCCCTCGCCAGGTGGAACTTTTCATAGGGAACTTGCATTAAAAAATGCCCAAGTCCCTGATGTGCGCTGATAGCATTACCGTATTGATCTCATTGAGACATGTGTTAGATAGACAATCAGTTTATTATTCTTACACCAAATAGCTTGCAAAGTTATAAAACAAAATGGCATACAAAGAAGACATGAACTTCCATATCATTTGTCTCTACGCGACTGGCAAGATAAAAACAAGTGTTAGAGCTATTTTTTTCTACATCTCTGTGTTCTTTTTATTATATCATGTAAATTTTGGATATTAAGATTATAGCAAGATTTTCGCTTTAATAATAATTATACCTTATTATCAAATTTTCTTATTACATCACCAAATAGTGTAACGCTGGATTCCAAGGTTGGAAATTAGCCAGGCCAAGAATTTTAGATCTTACAGGTAAATACAAAACTCAATTAAAATCAAATCCGTAAACCATTATTTCTTATTATTAACATTGTTACTTGATCAACAATAAACACTAGTATTTTTAAGAAAAGATGTCGTGATATTAATTACGCTTGCATCCAGTGATGTCAGTGATCTGGCTGGGGCACTCAATTTCGACGAAAGAAACCGATGGGTTATCAGCGTTCTCCAAGAAGTCCCATCTCCAGTCGCAGCCGGTTTGCAGCTCGCTAGGCAGGTTACTACATTCAGAAGCAGAGCTAACACCACCGTAGGTCTGGCCCCAGTTGCTTGCAGGAGAGTTCCACTGGTTAGGGCAACCCTGGCTGAAAATTCCAAATCCGCCACCAGGCATGGCAATGTCAAAGTGGTTGGAGCTGAGATCGGAACCAGTGTTAGTAACCTGGGCAACCATCTGCTTGCCAGCAACAGGACCATCGTTAAACGTGAGCAGAACACAAGTGCAGCACATGTTGGACTCGCCGTAGCCAACCATCGACGCAGCAACAAAGCCAAAAGCAAGAGTTGAGTTAAGGGCAAAAGGCTGCTGGTTGCTGCACATGTAAGAATCACCACCATTGCAACCAGACTGATCATTAACATCAGAAATTGTCTTGCCGTCGGCCTTGCAAGCAGCAACGGGGCTAGAGACATCAGCTTTACCAGACCAGGAGCAGGAAGGCTTGCAGCAATCCCAGTAGCGAGTGGTCTTACCAGTACCAGACTTACCACCAGCAATAGGAGTAAAAGTAAGCTCGTTGTCTGCAGAGTTAACAGGGCTCTTAGAAGCAACAGGAGCAGGAGCAACAGAGCTGCTAGATGGGGCGGCAGCGATAGAATCAGCAGCAGAAGACACAGGCTCAGCAGAAAAAATTGAGACAGCAGCAGAAGACACAGACTCGGCAGAAGAAACTGGGACAGCAATGACGGAAGTAGCATCAACAAAGGAGGAAGTGGAAACAGGAGTCTCTTCACTCACAAAAGTACTAAACTGAATCTGCTCGGAAGTAGAGGAAGGGACAGTAGATGCATCAGCTTCAGAGCTAACTGATTCAACAACGCTGGATTGTTCAGCAGTAGAGTAGATAGGGGTAGAAGCGTTGACAGATGATTCGTAGATGGAGGAAGGAGCAATAACACTTTCGACCAGCGAAGTGTTAAAGTGAGCAGAGTGGTGTTGCTTGTGAGCAGAGTGGTGGTGCTTGTGACGGTGAGTGGGAGGCGTAGATTTAACAGGCTTCTTGAAAGTAACAGTACCCTTGCCTGGAGCGGACTTGGTCACAAAGACAGTGTGCTTATGCTTGTGGTCCTTAACAGAGGGAATATGAGGAACTGCCAAAGTAGAGTTCCAATTGTTATTTTCAACAACAGAAGTCTGAGCAGCAACAGAAGTCTGGACGGCAACAGCAGTAGTGTTAAGACCAATGGTTTGGGATACAGCGATAGTGTTGTTTCCAGAAATATCAGCGGTAGCCTCATCAGCAACACACTGATGGTAGTAAGAGTTTTGCGCCTTGCAGTAGGAGCCAGCCTCGCAGCAAGTGGTACCGTTCCAGTTCTCGCCTCCACATTGATAGTACAGAGGAGCGCAAGACTGGGCAGCGGCCAAAGAAATAATGGCGGAAACTGTGACAGATTTTAAAAGCATTGTAATATTAAAGCGAACAACAACTACAATCAAACACAAAAATAAACAAATAAAAGAGTGACAAAAAAATGAAAAGAGTGTAGAGAAGCGAAGAGGATTGTAACTCGTGAAAGCTTTAGTGATTTTTCAATAAAATACCAAAAGGATGATTGCTGATATTTATATACTATTTCTAAATGACTTGAATCTGAAATCAAACCATTTCCATTTATCTAAAATAGTTGATTAAACACTGTTGTTTCTAATTAATGCATGCAAAGACACGACATTGGTATGTGCGCCAAAAGGTTTTTTTTTTTGTATGTTTTTTGGTATGTGAATACCTATGATAGCTGCACAAAACCTCATGCTTCACAAATTTGATCCAGCAAGAGCGCGCTGAAAAAAAAAACTTTTTAGCTCAGGGGTAGACGACATATGAAAGTATAGATAGATAGATAATCAGTTTATTGTTCTTCCATCAAAATACAAAAACATGCGGCAAATGCAAAAAAAAAATTGGCACTTTGTTCACAATTCTGCATTTCACTGTGCATATGGCTATTCCCATTGGAATAAAAATTTGACTAAAGGGAGACCCGCTTGTTCTTAAAACGGCCCTACTAAAACCTGAATAGGAAAGCCACATGTTCGCTAATCACTCTTGTTATCAGCCCTGACAGCAGGGAGATGAAACCTCAAATTTAGCAAAGTTGAGTTCTTTTCGACTCTTAATTTTTAAACGAGATGAAGAAAAAGGGAGTAAAAATGTTTAGCATTCAATACCGTAGTTAAAATAAGCTTCAATATCATGCCATAGCTAGCTCGGTATTTTGTCAAGGTAGTACATTCTACGGTAGTAGTGCACATGAAACTATTTTCTATAGGATTGCATAGAGTTGAATCTTGATCTGCGAATCTTTCATGCCTTTATCATTACTGAAAACTACATAAAATCTGTGAACTCAAGACCATCCAGACAGTCTCCATTTTATGAAGCTTCCTGTAAGTCTCATATCACAAACATCCTTTTTTTTTCCAACTTTGAAGGGTTGGCTGCTTGTCTTATTTTTTTTATTTTATGGGTATGTGTTTTTTTCTTAAATATCTGGTTTTTGATATATTGAATTGGATCCTGAAATTCTATAAACGGGAGACCACTAATTTCGGAAAATGGGATTGATTATCTGGACGGCAATTAAAATCTGTGGTATAATTTTAACACTGGAAACAGTTCATTTATACGATAAAAAAGTTTTTTGGCATATCTATAATTTATTAATTTGATCAGTTTGTTACGAAAAGTCAGTAAACGCATCATTAAGGCTATATTCTGTGGCTATGCTCAAAAATTGAATTTTCTAACTACCCAATGTTTAAGATGACAGTTGGTCCACAAAATACCTTGTTCATCTCTGAGTTTACCTATAGATTTGAATTAACATATCCTATTGTTTCAGAAAAATTTTGTGTTGAATAACAGCTTTTTCGAATTCTATTGATCAAGAGTCTCAATCGCAGTAATAATAGTAACAATAATAATACAAAAGAAATTTGAGCATCCATATGTTGGTCTAAGACACTGATCAACACAGTAAATAATATTAATAGCAACTGGGTGTTTAAAAGGCGGAATATTTTTTATAAACTCAACCCTTTGTAAATAAGGATATCGAGGAGTGAAGTATACTTATTTTGTTATCATGAAAAAAAAAAAAAAAAAAAAAAACAGTCACAAATCTATTAGAAGCGTACTATATGCTTAGACTTTAAGCAATAATAAGAGAACGTTAGGTGGATATGTACACCTACCCTACCTAGAATCTAAAAGATCGTATGTAAAAACACGCTCTAATCATGCAGGTATGCAACAGCAAGTCCCGCTACCTCCTAAACGCAGACTCACTCCTCGAATGTATATTGTGGCACCTTAATCCTTTTTTTTGTCGCTCATATCTTTAGAAAATTAATCCTTTAAAAAAAAATTATTTTTTTTTTACTAAATACTTTTTGATTCTCAATTACCGAGTGAAAAATTAGTGCAAAAACTAGCCCCTGAACTGGGTACTCAAGATAGGTAGACTTGAAAAATAAAATGGGACTTGCATTTTTTTTTAAAAGAAAAATTTTATACCTCGTGTTAGGTAGATAGATAGAAAATCATTTTATTGTCTTTACATCAAATAGTTACAAACAAATTATAAAACAAAATGGCATACAAAGAAGACATGGATTCCAAAAATATTTGTCTATATGAGACTCGCAAGAGAGCGATATTTTCGTGTTAGACCTACATGTTTTTGTTTTTTTTCCGTATCTTTTTGTGATTTTTTGAATAGTTGTTTTTTTTCTAGAAAAATAAACACACTTACTATCTAATCTTTATACTTTATGACATGTTGCCAAGTTGATCCAGCAAACGGCAGCATGGTAACCAACTCAGTTATCAAATTAAAGGCTACA